ACACACAGACACACACACACGTTTATTAGATCATCTTGTTTAAAGTATTCAGACAAAACCCTACTGTTCACACAAACTCAAAGTCATAATCCTTGACCCAATTGTTACGACAATTAAGTAAATTACAATTTAAAAGCTTAATTAAAAAAAAATCATACTTGATGTGTTTGACAATAAACCTACAACTTTACTTTTGTAAGTATACCTACAGTATAGTAAGTAGGTATTTAGTTCCCTATTAGACCTAATTCAGACACTTGAAATGAATGTGCTTGATTATTGAAAAATGGGACTTTTACAGAATGTGCCAGCCATTCAAACTACTAAAAACCATGAATTAATATGGACTAAATAGCTTGATAATTAGGTTTCAAGATATGGATAGAACCTAGTGCAAAAAAACTTGAAATACAAACTCTGTCAGTATACGTATTCATTAAATCTGATGAGGTCAAAAAATGCTTTAAGTAAGTCCACAGTTTCTGATCGTGGATTCATTTAGCTGCTACAAAAGAGCAACTCAATGGCATTTCAACATTTTCTACTGAATTTGTCACTAATGACCATCTAATTTATGATGTATATATGTGACTCGATGGAGGTCTGTCTGCCCTGTTTCTTATAGCAGATTTAGCTGACATGTAAATACTTTAGAAGCTTTAACATTTAAGCAGAGAGATTGAAGGTTTTCATTGTAACCAGTCTAAAGCTGTTGATTTCACTGATTAGCACTATAGACATTTTTCATCCTCAAACTGATTGGCTGATCAGTTGACATCCAGACTGCAGGTGCAAATTACGTCTGACTTTTTAATGTAGTCTGATGGTGTATAATTACAAGGTAAAATTCAATCATCTTTAAGTATATGGACTACATTTATCTTGAAGAAGGAATTATGATTATTCCTGTCTTTATCCTGCAATTTCTCAGCAAAGCATCCTCAAATCTTTACAAACTGAGTGCTGAATCTGACAGATTAGTGCAGCATATGCATTTATTAGCCATCATTTAAATACAATGACTATGATGCATGCAGTGCATGTACAAATTCATCGCCTGTAAGTGATTTGTTAAGCAGACTGCGTAACTGTCTGTGTGTGTGTGTGTTTGACATTTACACATATGTGCAGCCTGTGTGCCAGGTGCCCTACTTGACTCCCTTTCTGTGTCTATTCATCTGTCAGTCTATAAAGTTTTACAACTTGCAACACAATGCCTCACTGTCCAAATCACACACACACCCTATGTTACAAATCAGTTGCAGCTTGTTCAACTCAATAATAAATGAGTAAATCCAGTTATGTGAATAGATTTACAGATTTGAGTAATGCTTATATTAAATTGTTAACAGAATCAATGTGTCACCCGTTCTGGATCAAAGTTTCTAACTGATATTAAAACTTTTGTAATACTTCATGTCAGGTTGCTTCATGTTTCAGTGTGAATACTGCAACTGTCACTTAATGTTAGTTATTATTTTAAAATAAAGTTCACTCCAAAGTTATCTGTTCTGTTTGCTTTAATCATGAAACACTGGTACTTCTATACAGTTGATTTTACTGTTTAATCAGTGTCTCATTCAGTCCCTGAATATGAAAAATATGGACATGACTGCAAATGTTTATTGAATTTGGTAAGTACAGTCTAATTTAGTTTAACTTTGAAATTAATCAAAAGAATGCTTCAGAAACAACACACAATTTAATTTCCGATGGAAAGCAGATGCAAAGATTAAAATAAATGCAAAAGTAAGTGCATTAGTGTAGAGTGCTAATGTACTTTCTGAAACATTTTCAAGTTTCAGTGCTCCATCTAAAATACAACTAATGCAAAATGTATGATCTCTTAAAGTTCAAGATAAAAATTGTAAAGAAAAAAAAGTAAGCCAAGATATTTATACACATATTCAAACAAGTAAAAATTACAAAAAAGCAAAATTCGCTTGAGTGCTATGACGCTTGCCAATGGAGACATCATTGGTAATCCAGTCAACATGTGTTTGTTGTATCCTAAAAGGCTACAGTCTGTGTTTCCAAGAGATTCCTTGGGAGGTGATGCAAGATTTTGGCTTAATATTGGTTGTTTGCAGACTCGAAACAGCCATGATGGCAACTCTGACATTATGTCCAGTCTGTTTAAAATGGGCACTTAACTCCAGTGAACACAGAAGCTGTTTGCAGCTAACTGTTAGCGTAATGCTATCGGGACGAGGTTCATCTCTCCGTAAAAGACGGGTAGATAGAACCAAATAGGGGGACAGCAACTGTCTCAAGTGGAAAACTTTTCCAGTTATGTTGAGGTCTTTCTCAAGAGCAATGATAAAAAAGGATTGTGAAACTGACAGTGTCTAAGGGGCATCGGCTCTAATAATGCAGGCTTTTTATTGGACAGAGGAGGTAACAACAGGAAGCTTTAAACCAAAGCTTTATTGAACCAGTAGGTCCCGGTTCCACCCGTTGAACGCTTTACCTTCCTTCCACTTAATTAAATGCTGTCACAACACAAGATGCCCCGTGCAGCTTCGGTTCATTTATTGCTCCTATGTTTTTTGTGTGTGTTTTTTATAGTTACACATTGAGGAGGAGGTAGAACTATTACTGCTTCTTTATGTAAAATGGGGTCTTTCTTTATCCATTCTTTTAAAGGCAATTATTTAGGCAAGTATTTTTAGTGTATGTGAATGAATGCACTAATGCATTTATTAGATTTTAAGAAAACAGACATCATCATGTATCATCTATTTATCTGTATTTCTTGACTGTGGCTAGTGCTTACCTGTACATCATATGTGCCATTCATCATAACTGTCCTGTGCTGTTGACTGTGTACATCTGGTCTCGTCTTCCCCAACTCTTTGGCTTGGTTCCTCTGTCCTTGTCCTGCCTGTATATCTGGGAGCAGAAATACAAGCAGGGGTCAGACTTGTAAGACGCAGATAAAAAAAAGAGGGGTGAGGCTGTCAGAGGCACAAAGACATGACTTCTGGGAAGAAGCACAACTTTTGGATCAATAGTCAACAAGCTGTTGCATTAAGAAGCTTCTGCACCCTGAGCATGCTGCGAAACACACTTGGTTGTATGCTTATGTATTTTAGGGGTTGTTAGGACAGACACAGCTTTTCCTTGAATTTCACTGGGTGCGTATGTTAACACATAATGAGGTGATAATAGGACTGTTAGCTACGGTTCAGATTTGTTTCGGTACACTTACTAACCCTGGTAAAACGTCAGTGTGTGGTCCAAGGCTTGATCAGTGATGCTTATTTCATGATCTAGTGCAGGGATACATGTTACTTTTTCATTTACAACTATTTGATACAAGAAGCATCAACACAAGTTCAAAACATACCTAGAGGTGTGTGTTGGGGAGCCATGTTGTGGAGGGCCAGGATGTGTGTGTCGAGGGCAGCATCCTGCCGTGTGCGGTTGTGCAGGCCCAGGTGATACTTCCTATAGTGCTTCACCAGGTCAGCGGGGTCATTGCCATAGTAACCGTAACCGCACACGTTGCACTTGAAGTCCTGCAGTTTAGGAGAGGGGCTGGAGGAGAGCGGAGGGGTGTCAGTTGGCGACTCCTCCCCTCCTGCCTGTCTGGGGAGGAGGTGGGGAGCAGGAGCGGTGAGATGATCTGCCTCCCCTCGGTCTCTTTCGCTCCTCTCTCCTTCCTCTACCCCCTTCTCTCCATCCTCAGGCTCCGACTGGCTCTCAGGTCTGTCAGTCAAAGCCGTTCCTCCTTTTTTGGCCCTCCCTCCTCCTCCTCTCCTCCCCCCTCTCTCCTCGTTGCTGTAGCGGTCGCCAACGGATGAGGGAGAGACAGATGAGGATACACACTCGCTTTCTGCCTCGTCCTCTTCCTGCTCCTCATCTCCTCTGATCCGGTCGGAGGATTCTGGCTCAGAGGGTCGGTTTATTCGTTCGGCCTCTGCTCCTAATCTCCCCTCCTCCTCTCCCTCCTCCTCCTCCTCTCCTGCTGGCCTCCTCCCCTCCTCTTCCTCCTCCTCCTCACCTCCCACACTCCGGATAGGGGGATTCTTCTTCCTCACCATCTCTGATAAGATGAAAAGAGACAGGGAGTGAGACACAAAAAGTTTGTTGTCCGACTGATACGTTGACATTTAAGCATGTAAACTAAGTATTGTTTACGCACAAACGAAGGAATTGGGGGATGAAAATATCAAGCAGATTTTTCATAATCCCTTAAAAATCAAGACACTAAGAGATACAAGGTGTCTGCAGGACTCAAATAATATACTGTGGATTACATGCACACACGCACACAAATACAATTTTCTGACAATGATGTATGTGTACAGAGTTGCTTTGATTCAATTTACGAACTTCTTTGAGGGCTGATTTCTGTGACGATCCACAACCACAAACCTCGTCAAAGAAAAACAGCCCCAACAAATCAGAAACATCTCAGCTGCGAGAGATTTTTCATTCAGGGGTGTGTGTGTCGGGATGTTCGTTGAATCCTTAAGTGCAACTTTTTTGCCTTTTCTTTTTTTTTTTTTTCTC